TGCGCACCTGCGCGCCGCCCACGTCGAGGCTGTTTTCCGTGCGGTGCAGCTCGCGCTCGAGCTGCTGGCCTTTCCCTTCCGACTCATCAACCACCTTAAGCAGCAGTTCTACAGTGTTCGCGAGCAGTGCAGTTTGCCGGTTAAGCTCGTTCAGCCGGTGAATCTCTTCGAGCGCGTCGAGCTGCACGGGGACGCGTGCGCAGCAGGTCTTGGCAGTCTGGTAGAGTTGCGCTTCAGCGCTGCGCACTTCCGCGTTCACGGTCTGCAACTCTTCTTCGAGTCCATGCACGACTGCGCGTTTGCGAGGCGCGTCCCAGCCGGCTGCACGCACGCCTATCAAGTACGCCTTCACATTATGGCCGTACGCGTCCATACGAGCGTTCAGCTCTGCGCTGAGTTTGCGGAACTCCGGCACGTCGACGCCGCGCGCGTCGAGGCTCGCGCGGCACTCGGCAACGCACTGTTTCAAGTTGCGCTTTTCAAACGCCGCGGCGTCGCGGAGCACGATCACCGGGGCGTCGCCGGACGGCGCGCCAGCGTTTTCCATGCCTGTCGCGCTCGTCGGCTCACACACAGTTTCGCAGCGCAATTTCTGCAGAATTAAACAAGTAACTATATCGGCGCGCCTTTTCGCCCGATTTGGCGGCGCCGCGAAAATGAACTCGCGTTGGTGCGTCGTTCACAAACGCGGCAATAATGGCACCGCTCGCTTGCGCTTCTTTTGCCGGGTTGCCGCCTCGCTTCAAAAGCAGGGCGGCGCACTTCAACAATGAATTTCGAATCGAGACCACGCCGACGCGCGCGCAGCCCTCTGACCGCCGCGCGCGACAGGCCGCCGCTTCGCCGGCCGCGAACGCCGCGGTACGCTCTACGCGCAGCGCGCTGCCGACGGTCGGCCAGCTGCAGCGCGCGCAGCAGAAGTCGCTGCCCTCGAGCGAGTTGCTGCAAGGTTTGCTAATCAGCGACGCCGACAGCGCTTCTTCGAGCCACGCGGCGCCGATGGGAGCGCCGGAGTCTACTGATTTTGGAAATTATTGCACGCAGCGACGCGCGGTTGTCGACAAGCTCGCGAGCTTCCAGCCGAAGCCGCAGAAAGTCGTCCAGGCTGATGCTAACGCGCCGGAGCCCGTCCGGGAGTGTGCTGACACGGACAGCTGCGAAGCACTTAAAGCTCGCAGGAGCAGCTCGCCGCACACGTTCAACCGCCGAAGGCTTACGAGCAAGCCGGCGTTCGGGCTGGGGCTCCCAGTGCAGTTCGCGTTCGACGCGTGCAAACTGCAAAACGCAGCGCTTCGCAGAGAACAAGAGCTTGTCGAAGCGCAGTTTCGCGAGTACCAAGCTCTGCGCGACTCTCTGCACGCAGCGCTACGCGCCAAAGCTGCGTTGGCAGACGAGCTCACCGCGCTTGAGGCTGCAGAAACTCGACTATTCACGCGACTGCTCGACGGCGCGGTCGCCAGCACCGCGCGGCTTTCGCGCAGCGGCGCGTTGCTCGACGCCTGCTGCAACCCCGAACTCGAGCACGTCAGCGTGAAGAGCTACGCTTGGGAAGAAGGTTGGTCTGAAGCGCGACTCGCGCTTGTCGCAGCACCGGCGGAGCTCGCTTCCTCCGCGGAGTCTGACGCGGGTGACGCTGCGCCTGCGCCGCACAAGCTTCAGGCAACGCGCCTGGGGACGCCGCGTGCCAACACGCACGCTGCGGGCGAAGCCGTTTATCAGAACATTTATAACGGTTCTTTCGCAGAGGCTCGCGACCGCGCAGCGGCAAGCGCGAACTGCTGCAGCAATGCTGTCGAACAGTTGTACGTTGTGCGGCGCGCTAGCGAGCTTCTCTCGGCGAGCCCGCGCCGCTCGCGGGTCTGCGGCGAAAGTCCCAGCAAAGACTGCTGCCCCTCGGCACTTGGCGCGAACGCCGCCGCAGCTGCTGCGACGGTCGAGCCGCTCTCACCAAGGAACGCGCAGCCGCGCGCAGTAGCAGAGGAGCCGCAAAGCGGCGGTGCGTCTCAAGCTTCGGCCGCCGGCGAAACCGAGTGTACGGCGCTCGCCTTGCACGCGCGCGGTCCGCTCGCTCAGGCCGCCAGCAGCAAGTGGCGGGACTGCGCGACCGAAGCCAGCACAACGCTCGAAACGTGTTCTGCAGACGCGACGCAACCCGCTGCTGCGCGGGAGCAGCGCAGCGCTGAGCAGCTCGCGCGAGAGGAGCGTCGATGCTGCGCACGCACGCCCGCAGGCCGGCGCTGCGACTCTGAGCCGAGCTTCGGCAGCGAGCGCTGCGGGAGCGGCTCTTCGTTTTCGGCCGCGCTGTTCGAGGCGCAGCACGAGTTCGAAGACTTAGGCGGCATTTTGCAAAGAGTCTCGAGTTCTTTGACGGAAGGCGAGTTTTCGGCGTTCGCAAGTGAAGGTGCGCTCTGCGACGCGGGCGGTTGCGGTTTTCGCTTGAAGCCACTGTCGAGTGCGAGCAAAAGCTGCGGCGAGGCGTCAGCAGCCGACGACGTCGCGGACGCGCAGCACGTCTGCGAAGGCGGCTTCGAGCACTTAGAGTCGCACACTGAGCCGCGCGTCTGCGAGTGCGGCCTCGAGCGCATAGAGTCGCCCACAGAGCCGCGCGCGGGCGAGGACGGCCCCGAGTGCTTAGAGTCGCTTACAGCGCCGCGCAAAAGCGACGAGGCGTCCGAGCCGTGCGATGCTAGCCGCTTTGGAGCGGTCGCGGGCTGCTTGCCGCCCACAGCTCTAAGCTCGGCCCAATGTCGCACTGGTAGCGAGGCTTCGAGCGCAGAGACCGCCGCGTGCGCGCCGCTAGCGCCGCAGCAGGACGCACAGCAGGGCGTTGTGAGCAGACGCTGCGTCGGCTCCGGCGCGCACACCGCCGGCAGTCGCGAAGCGCTGCTCTCCTTTCTGTCCCAGTGCGATAAGTATTTCGAAGACGAACAAGAGCGAGACGAGTTGGTGGAGCGTTACGATGTGCGCGCGCCGCGCTGCGGCGGCGGCCCCGGTAGGTAGTTATTAGCGTTACAAACTTGCTCGTAGATGAGCGTCAGCCCGAATTTTTTGTCGAGCGGCTTGAGCGTTTTCAAAGGAAAGCCCAGCAGCAAGCCCACCGCGAACAAGTGGTAGTTGTGCGTTTTCACGAAGAACGCGAGGTTGATCAGCGGCTGGCGCCACGCACTGTCGCGCGGACAGCTCTGCACCAGCGCGTCGGCCCACAGCATCGCGAACGCGCTCCAGCTATCCGCGGGCCGCGCACCGAGCAGGCAGCGCACGGCTTCGCCGTACAGCACGTCGAGCGCGTGCGAGGCCTTCGTGCAAGCGAGCACGCGCTTCACAAAGCTGCGCACCTCGGAGACGTCGCACGCGTTGCAGATCGCGAGGCGCACTTGGTTCGCGCAGAGCACTTTGCTGCAGGCGATGCCGCACAGGCAGCAGCCGTCGCGCTGCAGCGTAGCGCGCAGCTGTTTGCCGGAGAGCGCGCGCTCGACCGGCGGCGTCGGCGGCACGCCGAGCTGCGCGGCGAGCGCCTCGAAGAGCTCGGAGTAGAGCTCGAAGTTCAGCGCGCGCTCGGAGCGGTTTACCCACTGGTACACGAAGGCGCTCTGCGCGAGCACGTTTTTCGCGCCGCGCCGCATTCCGCTGCTGAACTGCGGGCAGCCCTGGCAGGTTTGCCGGCTGTAGTACTCGAGCGTCGGCCGCGGCGCGGCCTGCTCGCCGAGCAGCCGGAAGCGCGCGGCACGCTCCGCGGCCGCGGCGTGCCGCGGCTGGATCGCCGGGTTTATGGTGACGAACAAGCCGTTTTCGCGCGTCTGCGAAGCCATAACAATCGGAGTAGCGTTATACAGTTCCACACGGTGCCGAGAGTCGCCGTCGTCAAAAGCTGAATGCATCACTGTTTTTAAAAAGAACACGGCGCGGCGTACCGGGACTTTGCGCGCACTGGGGCGGGCGTGACCCGAAAATAGGCGCCGAAATAAATTTAATGGCTGCGCAGGACGCCGTGGCGAGCGTCGTCTTCGAGGCGCTGCTCTTGGCGCGGCTCGAGCAGCTCGTCCCGCAGTTCTACCCGCAGCTCGGCGTTGCGGACCGCGAGAGCCTCTGCTGCATGTTTGCGGACGCGCTGGGAGCCGCGCCGACCGCGCCGCTGTCACAGCGACTGGGGCAGTGGGACTTGCCGGCGCAGCTGAGCGCGGAGTTGGGCGAGGCGCAACGCGCGTGCGCTGCGGAAGTCGCGGCGCTGCAGCGCGCAGCGGGCGGCGGCGACGCCGGCGGCGAGCGCACGGCAAGCTTTGCGCAGCTGGAGCCGCTGGTGCGCCGCTTCGTCGCAAAGTTCGCGGCGGCCGCCGCGCCGCGCGCCGACGCGGACGCCGCAGTCGCGCTGAGCGAAGAGACACTGACCTACAACCACCTGCCGGTGCCGTTCCTGAACTTCCAGACCGCACGCGTGCCCACTTCGCTAAAGGCCGTGCGCCCGCTGCTGCCGGCCGCCGCGCCCGCGCCGGCGGGCAGCCAGACGCGGCGCGCGGAGGCGCCCGCCGCGGGGCCGCGCTTCGCGCGCCCGCGCGCCGCAGTCGCGAACACCGACTTTGACGCGGTCGCAAACGCGGACGCTAGCGCGGACTCGGTGCACGAGTGGCGCGAGAACGCGCGCCACGCGAAGCGGCTGCAGTTTGCGCCCGCGGACGCAGACGTGCAGGCGCTGCCGATCAACCAACTCGCGCCGCAGCTGCTCGACGCCGTGCGCAACCACAGCGTGGTGATCGTGCAGGCCGAAACGGGCTGCGGCAAAAGCACGCAGATCCCCTGTCTGCTGTACGAGGCCGGTTTGCTGCAGCGCGGCATGATCGGCGTGGTCCAACCGCGGCGCGTCGCGGCGGTCTCGTTGGCGGAGCAGACCAGCCGGCAGCGCAGCGGCGCGTACGCGCCGGGCGTCATCGCGTACAGCGTGCGCTTCGCAGACACGTGCCGCAGCAACACGCGGATCAAGTACATGACGGACGGCATCTTGCTGCGCGAAATGCTCTCGGACCGCGACCTGTCGCGCTACGCGGTGTTCATGCTCGACGAAGTGCACGAGCGCACGATGAACAACGACTTGCTGCTGCCGCTGCTGAAGCTGCTGCTCGAGCGGCGCAAAGACGCGAAACTGATTCTCTCGAGCGCGACGCTGAACACGAAGCTGTTCAAGCAGTACTTCCCCGACGCCGCGGAGCTCTCGGTTCCCGGCCGGCTGCACGACGTGCAGATTTTCTACAGAGAAGCGAGCGTGACCGACTTCGTCGAGGCGTGCGTGATGCAGTGCTTGAGCATCGTGCTCGGCGACGCCTCCGGCGACCTGCTGGTCTTCTTGCCCGGCAAGGAAGAAATCAAACTCGCGGCCGAGATGCTGCAGTCGCTCTTCCGCGCAAAAGTAATGGCGCTCGACTCCGCGCACAAGCCGAAGCGCAAGCTGCGCATCGCGCGCATGTACGCGGGGCTCGATTTGCAGCAGCAGACTGAGGCGATGACGCCCGCGCCCGAGGGCTGGGTCAAGGCGATTTTCGTGACCAACATCGCGGAAACCTCGCTGACCATCCCCGGCGTCGTGTACGTCGTCGACTCGGGGCTGGTCAAAATCAACAGCTTCGACGCGCTCACGAACAACGACGCGCTCGTGCTGTCGCGCATCAGCAAGGCGAGCGCGAAGCAGCGCGCGGGCCGTGCGGGCCGCGTCTGTCCCGGGTTCTGCTACCGCATGTACACGCTGCAGGAGTTCGCCACGGAGATGGTCGAAGAGACCGTGCCGGAGCTGTGTCGCTCGGAACTGACTTCCGTCATCGTACTGCTCACGAAGCTCGGCTACAAAAACCTGCTCGAGTTCCCGTTCCTGACGCCGCCGCCAGAGGATCTCGTGCTCGCGTGCACCGCGATGCTGTACGAGTTCGCGTGCCTCGACGACCGCGGCTTTCTGACGGACCTCGGCGACGTGGTCTCCGCCTTCCCCGTGCCTGCGCAGCACACACTAATGCTGCTCGCGGCTGCGCGCCTCGGCTGTTCCCTCGAGCTCGTGAAGCTCGTCTCGCTGCTGCAAGCGCCGAACCTGTTCTTGTGGCCCTACGACCGCGTCGAGCAGGCGAACCGCGCGCACCGCAGCTTGCAGGTCAGCGACAGCGACCACGCGACGCTCGTGCAGATCTTCAACGAGTTCATCGATGCGCCGGACAAGCCGGCGTACTGTCGGCAGCGCTACCTGAGCCTTAACGCGCTGCGCGAGGCGAAGCACCTGTTCGACGACTTGACCGAACTGTGCGGCAAGCTGAAAATTCGGCTCGTGTCTTCGCCGAACAAGAAACTCTGGCTCGAAGCCATCGCGCACGGGCTCTTCCGCAACGTCGCGCGTCGCGTGGGCAACGAGTTGGAATACGAAACGCTGCGCAGCAAACTGCTCTGCAAGCTGCACCCGCAGTCCGCCGTGAGTCTGCGCGGCCCGCCTCTGGTGGTCTACGAAAAAATCATCGTGACCTCGAACTCGTTCATGTGCGTCTGTTCCGCCATCGACGCGGCGACGCTCGGGCGCGCCGCGCCTAAGGTTTTCCAAACGCAAAAATACAGTTTTATGCGCAGCGCAAATGCGCTTCGCGGCGCGCCAAACGGCGCCGCCGCGGAGCGCACGCGCTAACTCAGATCTCATAATCCAACGGTCACTGAGGCCAGCGGCCTCTCAGATTATAGATTCATCATACACGAACAGGTCAGACAGCCAAGGGAACAACTTTGCTCTTCATGTACTCAGAGACTCTAGTCATGCCATTGTGGGGTCATCATGGAATTGCGGTCAGATAGGGGTGAAAGACGAAAATGTGTTCAACACGGTGTTCAGCTACACTCTATCATCAGAAGCGAAAGGTCAGATCTGGTCAGTCAGTCATGCGTTCAGACTGGGGCGACAAGACTCATCATTCGCGAGAAAACCAAAAATACTAAATGCGAAAATGACGCTGTTTTGTCCGTACTGTCACAACCTGCTGCTGCTCGACGAAGAAAAAGGGCTGGTGGACTTGGCGTGCTCTTGCTGCAGCTACCGGCTGCCGGTCGCGCAGCCGGTGTGCGTCGCGAAGACGTTCGAGCCGCAGCGCGTCGAAGACGAGAGCCGGCTAATGGCGGAGCTCGAAAACTGCGAGGTTGTGATGCGCAACTGCGCCGAGTGCTCCGGCGTGAAGCACTTCGTCTACGCGTTCATGCTGAACGACTTCGAGCGCAAAGTCGTCAAGTATTTCCACTGCGCGCAGTGCCACGCGATCCAGAGCGAGTTCGCGCTCGCGCGCTGAGCCGCTAGGTCACGTTGTTCAGCACCACGTAGTTCGGCAGCTTGCGCTTCGGGTGCGGCGCCGCAGCCGCTGCGTCCGCCGCTGGCGACGGCAGGTTGGAATGGTCGGCGTAATCGCGCGGCTGCGAGCCGCTGAACCAGCCGTCCGGCTGGAGCGCGTGCCGGTGGGTTGCGAGGCGGTTGCCGCCCTGCGCCGCCCTGCTGCGCGCGTACAGCTGCTGCGCGGCAAGCTGCGGATCGTACGGCGTGTAGGTCGGCGCCTCTTTTTCTTCGAAGTGGCTCGGCAGCCCAGTGTAGTACGGATTTTCGCTCCACGAAGCTGCGTCTCTTGGTGGCAAGCCCCAGCGCGGGCTCTTCCGCTGTGGATGCCGGCCGTCCTCCGCCTCGCTGCCGTACTGCGAGTCGTTGTCTGCGTCCGCCTCGCTGCTGAACTGCGAGTCGTTGTCTGCGTCCATCTCGCTGCCGTATCGCGAGTCGTCGTCTTCGCCGTTTTCGCTGTTGTACACCGACTGCGCCGAGAACCGCGGCGGCGGCGGCAGAAGGGCAGACGCATCTTCACGATGCGCGTAGCGCTCCGCTGCGCTGCTCTCCTGTGTCGGATACAGCTGTGACGGCCTTAGTGGCGCACCGTATTGGCCAGAGCCAAGCTGGCCAGGGCCGAACTTGTCAAGCCCGAACCGGCCAGTGTCAAACTGGCCAGCGCGAAACTGGCGAGGGCCAAACTGGTCAGGGCCAAACTGGTCAGGGCCGAATTGGCCAGAGCCGAATTTTTCAGAGCCGAATTTGTCAGAGCCGATCTGACTGGCGCCGCGCGCGGCTTCGCCGCTGAGCGGCGCGCGCTCGCTCGTGTCGGCGGGCTCGCGGCCGAAGTCGCCGTCCAGCTCTTGCGGCGGCGAGAAGAGCGGCGGGCGCTGAAAGATGCGCTCCTGCACGGAAGGGCCCTCACGCTGCTCCTGCCGCCGCAGCTGCCGCTGCGGCTCGTGGTGTATCGCTTCCGGTGAGCAGTCCTCGACTTCCTCGCAGTCGATTGGCGGCACGTCCTTCGCGAACAAGTCCATTTCTCGCGCGCGCACCAGCACGGCTAGCGCGCCGAGTGCCAACGCGGCTCGCATCGAGACGGGGTGCATCCTAGAGTCGCCGCAGGTCGCTAATTTTTCACAAAACTATGGACAAAAACCCGCGTTGCGGGGTTCCGCGATCAAATTTGGCGATCAAATGTGCGCGCGCGGAGCGCCTCGGCGCTTGCGCTGCGCCGCTGCGCGCGCAGGCCGCCGCATCTAAACACTGCCGCAGTTGCGCACACAAGTTAATAATAAACAGATTTGCGCTATCTTGATTTTTGACAATGGGTTGCACGTCAAGTAAAAACCAGGCGCGGCCCGCGCCAGCGCTCTCGAACGCCAGAGCGCAGGCCGAGCCGAAAGCGGAGCTGGAGCTGCACTGCGAGTCCCGCGCGGACGTTAGCGGGTTCCGCGACAAGTACCGCATGGAAGCCGCGCCGAGCAAGCCGGGCGAGTCGGACGACGAGTCGGAGATCGTGACGAAGGGCGAAGTCACGCTGGTCGAAGGCGTCAAGTACGTCGGCCAGTGGAAAGGCAAGCGGCGGCACGGCAAAGGCAAGCAGGTGTGGGCCGACGGCGCGTACTACGAAGGCGAGTGGTTCGCGGACGAAGCAAGCGGCCGCGGCACGTTCGTGCACGCGGACGGCTTCGTGTACGAGGGCGAGTGGAAGAACGGCCGCGCAAACGGGCAAGGCAGTCTGGTGCACCACGACGGCAGCAAGTACTTCGGCGGCTGGGTCGACGACGTGCAGCACGGCTTTGCGGTGGAAACGTGGAGCGACGGCAGCCGCTTCGAGGGACAGTTCGTTAACGGGCACAAGGACGGCCGTGGCACGTTTTCCTGGCCGGACGGCGCAGTCTACAAAGGCGAACTCTGCAACGACAAAATCCACGGTTGGGGCATTTACCGCTGGAAGGACGGGCGCACTTACAAGGGTCAGTGGGTGTACAACTGCATGCACGGCGTGGGCTGCTTCAAGTGGCCGGACGGCCGCTGGTACTACGGCGAGTACACGAACGACAAGAAGGACGGCTACGGCGAGTTCCACTGGACGAACGGCAAAGAGTACTGCGGCTACTGGAAGGACGGCAAGCAGCACGGCTACGCGGAGTTCCGCAACCAGAAGGGCGAGGTGCGTAAGGGGCTGTGGCACGAGGGCGTGCGCAAGCAGTGGTTCGCGAACGACGCCGAAGCGGAAGAGTACCTCGCCGCGAACAAGAGTGAGCCGAAGCACGCACTGACCCCGTTTCCCGAGTGGCTCGAGCAGTCCGAGAAAAACTGAGCGGCTAAACGAAGATCCGCGTTTATTTTTTGTGACTGATCAGCCGAGATGCGGGTGCTTCGATTGCTGGTCGGCGCGCTGAGCTGCGCACGCAACGCGCGCGTCACCGCAGCCGCGCCTTCCGCGCAGAACGCACTCTTCGACACGCCCGCCGCGCCGCCGCCCGCGGACGCCGGCGACTTCAACTTGCGCGCGCTGAACTTCCTGATCCAGAACCGCTTTCTGCGCTACCGCAAACTGCTCGCGACGAGCCAGCTGCCGGACTTCGGCGAGCCGCTCGACGAGACCGCGCGCGAAGCGCTCGACGACTTGCTGCAGGTCGCGCTGGACCTCAACGCGCAAAGGTTCCGCGAGGTCAGTCTGCAGTACGGCCGACTGCTGCGCGCCGAACAGGTGGGCGCGGAACACGCGAACGCCGGCGGCAGCGCGACGCTGTTGCGCCGGCGTCGCCGGCGCTGCGACCAGCAGTTTGCGGGACCGCTGCACGTGGTCGAGAACGCCGAAGACCTGCACTCCACCACGAAGAGCGACTCGTACGCGAAACTGGCGCAGCAGAGCCTGCTGTTCGAGAACGGCCCGCGCGTGTACCGCGCGTTCCGGCTGAGCGCCTTCCAGTTGCCGCTGCGCCCGCTCGCGGAGCTGCCTGCCTGCTTCTCCGCCGCCACGCTCGGAAACTTGACGCTGTTCTGCGCGCCCGACGCGGTGGCCTGCCACCGCTGGGTGAACGCGCTTCACGCGAAGCTTTTGTGTCTAAAGTTCGGCGTGGAGGGCACTATGCCGACGCTGCCCGCTGCGGCCGCGGCGCCGCCAAGCGGCGCCCCGGAAACCGCGAAAGCAGACGCGCCGGAAAACGCGAAAGCGGGCGCACCGGCCGACGCACACAAAAAAGAAGCAGAGAGCACGGAAAACGCAGTGCTGCAGGAGGCCGCCACAGCGACGCCGTCTCGCGAATCCACCTTTGACGTAACGGCTCACCTGTACGTATACAAGGACGCGCAGGGGTTTGCGAAAAGCAGCCCGACGCTCGAGCAGGCGCTCGAAGCGATCAAGCTGCGCCTGACGCAAAAGATTGCAATGTCCGAACCGAAATAACGCGCAACGCAGCACCGCTGCGGTTTGTGGAGCTCGCTCGCTGTCGCCCCAGCTAGCTCGCGCAGCCGAACGCTAGCCGCCGAGACTCTAGGGGCAGAAATGCGTGTCGCGCGCAGCGTTCCAGCGCTACGCGCCTTGCTCTCCCGCCCGTAATCGCCCGCGCCCAAGGTTGCGCGCGGCCACTGTTTGGCGAATTCGGTTTTGTCGCATGCTCATGAATCTCGGCTGCAGGAGCGACGAGAGATCTAACACGCGTCGCTTTTCCGCGTTTCGATGTGGGAGGCAGGAGCCGCCACATGGTAGCTGCGGACAGGTTGCTCCAGATTTAATTTGCATGTAATCGCGAGAATGCTCAGCGCTGCTTTCGACTCGGACCAAGAAGCCGACTCTCTCTACCAAACGAACAGCTGTCTCGCCGACATTCTGCACGAGAACGAAGTCTACACCAGCGCGCACCAAGAGTCGTAAGTTTTCCGCGCACGCACGCAGGCTCAATCGACTGCCACTCGCGCTCTACCTTGGCACGAACGCGAGCGGAGAACGCGTCGTGCTGCTGAACCTCGTCTACCCGGAACAACTCTCGACCGCCGCGACCTATCAAGACTTCTTGTAAGTAAATAAAAAAGCGATAATAGAAAAGCGTGCGTTATTAAGTTGCACAATGCGATCACCACGTCGAAAGTCTACGGGAACAAAAAGCGCATCAAGCTGAAACCCTATGTGGTGCTGGCCTGTTTTTACGAATGCAGCGCAG